AGCCGCCGCAGAACACGCAGCAGCTCTTTAGGCAAGGTCACAAGCAACGCAGCAGCGGGGTTGAGCGAGGTTCCCGAGGAACGCCTGCAATCGTAGCCATCCGCAGCACCAGCCGCCGCAGAACATGCAGCAGCTCTTTCCGCAAAGTAACAAGCAACCTCTTACCTTAGGGTCCGGTCCACCTTGCAAAGCGGACATGCGTTGCATTACACTACGCCTTTTCAAGGGATGCTCGCAGTGCAGGGGAGGCACTGTGCTTTCCGAGGGGCTTCACGCTTGTCCAACCCCAGCCTTCAAAGTTTTAAACCTCTAGCAATCACTTTAAAGCTCCTTGGACGGGGGATTCGTGCGTAGCTCGGCCATGGTCTGTGCGTGTTGCGGCAGCAGCAAGCACAACATCCGAGGGTGTCCTTTACCGGGTGCTAAACGTCTCAGGGACCTTGAGACAGAGAACCGGACCCTTAGAAAGGCGGCGCCCAACCCACAGCAAGGGCGGCGCCCGACTAAGTTCGGACCCAACACCTGGGGGAAGAAGCAAGCCAGCAAGAAGCGACAGGCTCAGCTTCGGTACTCTGGCAAGAAGGCTCGCACCCTTCGAAAGCAGAAGGACGCAGAACGCCGCCAGAAGACGGCACCCTTGCCTAGCAACTCTGTCTCCGAGCTGCAAGCAATCAAAGAGTTGCAAAACTTGGGATTCTTGCAGCCCTGCCCAAAGCGTTGCCCGGCTTGCAGAAGGGGCGCCTTCGGACAGCCGTGCGTGACCTCAACTGGTCAGGCGCCTGATCTGCACGGAACGGACATGCTTAAATCAGGTTTAGGGCTTTAAGTTTGAGGTTGCACCTTTAGGGCCTCCCCAAAACATACTCATGCTGCTCACCTCTCAGGTGTTTCTGCGATGCATCGATGCCGACTGTCGCAAGAGAACCAACCTCCTCACCTTGCAGACTTGGGTCCCGTGCACCCAGAGGCTCGGGACCAAGACGACGCCTTCAAGACTTTTGCTCATCCTCAGAGGATGGGTGGCTACCGGTTTGGGAAAACCGCCTTCGGCGTACCCACTCGCACGCTCCGTTGGCAGTACTTGGAAGCCTGTCAAAGCAGTCTTGGAAGCCCTGCAGCAACTGGAGGCCAATGCTGGTCGCGCTCGCAATGACACATTGCGTCTTCGCGGCACTGTGGAAGTCGACGCGACTTCGGTGAGGTTGGTGCGCGTGTACAGAAAGACCACGCGCCTCCAGGAGCCTGTGCAACGATGGCTGGACGCGCATCCGCACACTGCTCGACCGCACTACTGGCTCCTGCACTACCGTCTCGTGGGCGCAGTGCAGAGGTCAAACCATACCAACATGGTCGTGCGCCTTCTGCAGCACAAAGTCGTGCCCGCTGGAGCAAAGCCTCCCCCGGAGGCCCTATTGCCTGCTATGACTACTTAAAAATACTTACTATCATTTGGTACTGTTGCTTGCTATTCGCTTTTCATATGAGTTACAATTGTCTAAAGCTTACTTTTAGCTATTGTTTCCTACTATTACCATTGTTACTCAGAAGTATTTTTCTGCTCCTAACCTCGGCCAAGCCCTCTCCTCCGCAGGCCACGGACGAGATCCTGCAGAGCGGCATCCTCAAATCCGTAGCCAAGAATGCGACCATCATGGCAGACGGCGCTCGCAGTTGGTCAGCTGCGGCACGAAGAACTGGGCACACTGCCGGGGTAAAGCATGTGTGCCACAGTCGAGGCGAGTTCGCAAGGTCGAGCTCTGACACGCCTACTTTAGGCACCCAACTGCTAGATCGGTGCTGGGGCAATCTCAAGACGTGCATCCCCAGTACCCTTGCCAGCAGACCACACATCGCGGAAGAACCCTCTGCGATGATGTACGTTTTCCAAGCGCTCTGGCGCAAAAGCGTTGGAGTGGCAGGCTTGCTGCCAGCCTTAGGGGACCTTGCCAGACAAGCCTGACCAAAACCCAGCATGTCCCTCCGCTTAGGGTTTAGGGTTTCGGGTTAACCCTTTACGATTTTGGGTTTGTAGCTTGCGGTTGAGCGTGTACGACTTAAGCTTTCGGGATTAGGGCTTACGATTCAGGTCTTTGGCTTTAGGCTTCAGGGTTGACATATCTTGCGGCTTCTCCTGCCTTCAAATTGTGAAACCAGAAAAAGCCTCTTGCAAAACCCCAAACCACGAGCCTCAGAAAGACCTCAAAATAGCGCCGCCGCTGTAGCGAAACGCAGATTTTCCAAAACAAGCCCTTCACGAAACTTCGACTAGCGACAGTTCCCCTAACAGAAAATCCTTCGAAATCGCGCTAAACACACTGTAAAACGCAAAAAACCCGAAAAGTTTCTCGCCGCTTCTAGCACTTCGCGTACCCGCTTAACAGCATTCGAGCTACGAAATGCGCATATTTCCCCAGTTTCGCGCATCCGCCGCACCAAACCAAGCAAAAAAATGTGTTTAAACGCACGGCCCCTTAGGGGCGCCGTCACCCAAAACAAGACCACTAATTGCGAATCTCGCCACACCCAAGCACCCTTACAAAGCCAGAAAAGACCAACGAATAAAGCCACTCTCTGCTCGTACACAATGCCGCAACACCGTGAAGCAGGAAACCAAAAGCAAGCAACTCAGAACACATTCCTCATCCTGAGTTTCATGCGACTACCAAAGAGGACTGCAATGTTGGTAAAGGCTCTGACTTGAAACCCTTTTTGCAGTGAGCCCTATACGTGTCTTCTGTAGCAAACGTGGAGTAACCAACGTACCTGGGTATCTTCACCGATTTGAGAGCATATGCAGCATAAGGGGTTGAGCCAACTGACCGTGTACATTGATAGGGTCTCTGAGGGTGCCCCAGTTGTGAGACCCCCAAATGATGGGATTCCAAAAGCTGACATGATGACTAGAGGGTGTTTAGACATGGCTGTATTGGGCTGCATGTTGGTTTTGAGGCGGGTCTTTTGCAAAGCTCCTACATTCCACTCAGTCCCCCACGTCGAAGCAGCCCTGCCTTGGAATCGCAGTGGAGCTTACGGTTTGGGTATTTTGGTTTTCGGGGTGAAGAGACACCAACACCCAACGGCAAACCTTCAACTGCCAGCGTCAAATCCGAAACCATGTACTCTTGGAGTCTGAAAAGGGATCTGCATGACCTTCCGAAGAATTGAAGAATTTCCAGGACGACCTGGTTGGGCACCAGTGGTCAGAAGGCATGAAAGAGCAGTAGCGGCTCCTACTGTAGCCTATGTCCTGCACTTCCAAGCTGCAAATCTCATGATATCTTATGCCCCTGAACACCTCATCTTTCATTCCCAAACTTCCCTCCAAAAAGTGAGTTGAAAGCTTCCTCGGACCTTGAAATTGATCTTTAGCTTTCAGGGATTGTGGGGTGTGGTGCAAGGACGATAGACCTCAAATGCTGAGAGATGCCCATGCAAATCCTCAACCCTGCACCTCAGACACTGAACGCTCACAGACTTCCGAGCACACACCGGAAGCACGTATGTATATAGAAAAAATACACACATATACATACACACATATATGTAGTCTTCGCATAAAAAGATCTAAACATTCGACAATTCGACAACCAATGGCTACATCAGCCTTCCATATTGTGCTTCAGAGGAACCGCTGCATGCCCGAAGCCTTTAAGAAAAAGGCACGTCCCACAAGCACAAAAATTTGATTTAAGCTGACTTTATCTGAATTTCAAGATGAAATTCAATTTTTCATGTTGCAATCTAAGCATGCTCCATAGCTTTTATGAAAACAATATCACGGGGTTGCCGCAAAGCCTCCCCGTCAAAGACAGCCCTCTTACATGTAATCGCTTCCCCCTAATATTCCTCCCCCCATGGAAAATGCGGGTTCCCCGGAATTCCAAATTAGGTGGGTTCCAAGCACGACTGTTAAACATTAGGGCTCTCCTTCATTTCCTAGATTTTGATTGTTTCGGAATGTTGTTTATTCGGGAATTTGTACAAGAGCTGAATGCGATGTAACTTGTGTTCATTTCGATTTTGATCGTTTTTAAGCAGATTCTACTTAGATTCAAACAAAATTTCATGTGATGTTACTGAGGTCCTAAGTAGGCTTTGATTAGATTTTAATTAGGTTTCGATGACTTTTTCAATTGATTTTGAATCGTTGATTAGATTTGAATCAGATTTGAAAGGGGATCTTGGTTTTCAATTCCATTTTGAGTTGATTTTATCACGAATGTATCTGGATTTGAACGGCGTGTTATTCTATTTACTTGGCTCTTATTCGGTTTAAATTAGATTTCGATTAGATTTTGAATAGGTTTTAATTGGTTTGACCTCGTTTTTAGATTGGTTTTGAATGGCTTTATTCCATTGTAATTAGATTTCAAAGGGATTTCAATTCAATTTCCCTTGATGTTATTATGATATTAGTTAGGTTTAAATGGCTTCTTGTTCGGTTTTAATTGATTTTCAGTTTTAATCAGACTTCAATAGGATCTTACTTTATACCCCGCCTAATGTTCTGGTCGCACGATAAATACACTCCCTATATTAAGTACAGATCGGAGTATATACATTAAGTGCGGGGACGTTTAATAATGGGGGAGTGATTAGTCCCCCGACCCTAAACTCTAAAACCCTCATTCAAAACGCTCACCTCCACATCCTCGACCCCTAGATTCCTCCAGATCCTTTTAGTGCTGGGACCGCTATATAGGCTATAATGTTCTGGGTTCGCAGGCTTCTCGTACTGCGCGATGACCTCCTCCAGGTGATCTGGGTGGACCTTGCCATCATCCAGCAGGACTTGGGGCTCATGGCTTCGTGTTCAGGGCTTTGAGTTTAGGGTAGAATACTTTGGCTTCAGGTTCGGGGTCTGGGGGGCAGCAGCATGTGGTCGCGACAAGGCAACCTGAATTCAAGCCGGACCCGAAGAAGGCTCAAGAATTCACCGATTATGGCCTACTGAATCTGATCTCTTTAAGATAGACAGCCCAGAAAATGTTCCCAAAGTAGAGTTGGCAGAGGAATCTAGGCGTTGAATCGTTCTTTGCTGCCTCCTTGATTACTCGAGCGACACAGGCCCCAGAGGCAGTGTCATCGTCACCATCATGATCATGATCATGATCATCATCACCATCATCACCAAATCGCTGTCAAAGCCATCATCAACACTATCATCCCACTGGTGTCCAGTCCCTCTACGAGGCAACCTTCCGGAGCCACGGTGCTAAACTAGGGAGTCCTCTACTGCTGGCATATTAACATCCGTGGATGCGAGATAGTGAGCAAGCCACGGGCTGCCCCAAATCAGAAATGCGGAGCCCCAAGTCCTACACCTGGCCCTGAGCCATGCTGTGTGTAGGTATCGGGCGATGATGTGCTGTCCTGCGATCTCTGCACCTTGGTGCATCGCACGGGATATGAGTCTAGTGTGAATACAGAGACCTTGGGTTTCAAGATTTGGCTTGAAGGCTCAAGATGTTCAAGGCACAGGGAGGATCTGCGGGATTGGCGTGAGTCCCTCCCAACATGGAATGTCAATTTCGCTTAGTTTATGAGTAGTAGTCATAAGCTTTTGAATCGGAGACAGTTGCAGGCGCCAAATTTGTGCTGCCTGCATAGGACCCCTTGCAGACTCTGCACTTTTCTGTTGGCTTGAGCCACGCAATCTGGGACTGACTCTAAAACACCCCTCGAGACCATGGGCCCCATGTCGTATGCCCATGTCATCCTCACATAGTCCCCGGTAAGAGTGTTTATTTTTTTGTTGTCTGGTCTTTTTTGTTGTTTGGGCGTTTC